TGGAGGGTGGAGGGGGGGTGCATGTATGATCCAAACCTGCCTTCATGCCATTTCCAGATAAATAAACCATTAGAGACGCCGTGAACCGGAGTGAACCGTCTCTGTTCCAACAGGGTTCTACCGTCGCCATGGTTACGTCACCAGCTGGTGTGGAACACACACACACACACACACACACACACTCGGCGCTGCTTGTTAAAACAAATATCTCCAGTGTTACCAAATCTTACTAACAGGATGATGTCAACTGTCGTTGGATCAGTTTGACCCTGACTTCCTGTCATCCACTTCCTGTTCTGTGAATATATGGACGACTGCAAACTGAATCCTGAAAACTGAAAGCTAATATACACTGTAACATTCAGTGAAGTTGGTTCTCCTCATGCAGTACTCTGTAGTACTGTATACTCTGTGTTCTCTAGTAGAACCCAACACAGAGTATACAGTACTCTGTAGTACTCTGTAGTACTGTATACTCTGTGTTCTCTAGTAGAACCCTGGTAGAACCACAGTCTATTTCCTCTGACGACCCAGAGGAAACGAGTGTGTGTAGAACTCCAAACACTACTACACTGAGTACTACACTAAGTACTAGACAGAGTACTACACTGAGTTACTGTGTCGTCTGGTTTTATGGATCCTCTCTGTCTTTTACTGGTCTTAAAGAAACAAAATCAACCTATAAACTTCTCTCAGACTCTTCACTGTTTATAAAGAAGGGGTGAGGAACAAAATACTCTACTCTCAGAGGCAGTACTGCAGTACTGTGTACACTGTAGTATCGTCTGTGTAGATTAGGGGTACAGGAACATGGATCTGACCTGCTCCCCCATCATGTACTACATGGTACTACCTGCTCCTCCATCATGTACTACATGGTACACAGTACTGTGTACACTGTAGTATCGTCTGTGTAGATTAGGGGGACAGGAACATGGATCTGACCTGCTCCCCCATCATGTACTACATGGTACTACCTGCTTCTCCATCATGTACTACATGGTACACAGTACTGTGTACACTGTAGTATCGTCTGTGTAGATTAGGGGGACAGGAACATGGATCTGACCTGCTCCCCCATCATGTACTACATGGTACTACCTGCTCCTCCATCATGTACTACATGGTACTCCCTGCTCCTCTCTCATGTACTACATGGTACTACCTGCTCCTCCATCATGTACTACATGGTACTCCCTGCTCCTCTCTCATGTACTACATGGTACTACCTGCTCCTCCATCATGTACTGCATGGTACTACCTGCTCCTCCATCATGTACTACATGGCTGTACTCATTACTGCCTCATCTTTTTCTGCAGCTCCTCTTCCTCCCACATTTTCACACATTTTCAGATAGAGCTTCCAAACTCGGCTGAACTTTTTTTTTTTTTTTTAATTCTGTAATCCTGACAGAAATGTTGAACCTAAAACTCATTTTCTTTGCCATGTCCCCTCGTAGGCCCAGCTCCCTACTTTGGGAACCGTTGAACAAAATGAACAGAGCTCCAGGGTTCAATGTTTCTGACAAAACACAAAGCATCATGGGAAACTCTCCCACCGTGCCCAGACGTACTGCATTCAAACTTCAGAATATTTCTATTTCTCTGAGGTTTTTCAGGAGGAAACAGGATTTTGTTTTGTTCATAACAGAGACATTTAGAACAGGACCAAAGGGTTGAATGGAATAATCCTCACCCTGTTAGAGAGGCAGGGGGCGCTGGAGGAGGAGGACTCCATCAAACGCACCTTGTTGTGTGGCTGTCTGTCGTGCTAAGTGGAGCAACTCGGTCACCCAAATGTTTCAAGGAGACGTGGTTACCTCCGGGGCAGAATTTAGTCAGGTGAAGCCCCGTCTGTGTGGTTCTCCTGAAGACACTGAGCAGACGTGAGCGACACACTGAGACTCAGCTGCTGCTCCTTCATCTCACAGTCTGGGCTGTTGGTTTTTTTGTTTTTTTTTGGCTGCTCTCTTAAATATACATAGATTTAAAATAATAATGACAATTGATGGAAGAAAAAGTCAAGCCAGGTCTCTGCCCCCAAAAAAATTAAAATTAAAATGACCTGGTACTGATCCGAACTGATTTACCTGAGGTCAGGCATCAGTGCCCCCTACTGGTCTTTAAACAAGATGAGCAAACAATAAAAGAGGACGATCATAAAACGAATCATTAACTACAACGAGAAAAACACAATCATCAGTTCACAACACGAATCAAAAAAGAACTGGTCCCTGTCACTAAGTTAACCACTGACCACAGGTCACCTCTGGTACCACGACCACGGTCAGTGGTTTCAGATTAGCCCCGCCTCCGTCAGGCTCCAGTCTTATCTGTTTGCCCAGCGTGGAGGTTCTGACTGGAACAGTTTGGTTTCACGGATGTTTTGGTGTTTGACAGAACTAATAATGTTTGTTCTCTCGGCTGATTCCTGAACCAACGTAGGTGGAAAGGATTAAAGGCCACAGTCATAATCCTGCCTCACACTGGGCTGAGTGGGTCTGTCCTGGGATGAAGTCGGTCAGAGGTGGGACCTCTGGAAACTCACGGACTCACTGAACTTTAAAAGTCAAAAAAAATGAGGCGGCGGGGGGGACTGGAGATTAGGTGAATGTTCACTCCTGGTCCTGGTCCACAGTCTACCTACCCTGGTCCTGGTCCTGGTCCTGGTCCTGGTCCACAGTCTACTCTGAGGACACTGACTCGTCCTTCTCTCCTCGTCCCTCTGGACAGATCGACCTCAGTGTCTCTAATTTCAGACACTTAATGAGTTTTTTAATTGGTGACCTTTAGGAGGATGATGTTAC